AAAAAAAAAGCGATCCGTATACCCAATCGAACATCACTCTTTTACATCAGTTGATGCAAACGTACCTAGGAATTCTCGCACCACTTGTTTTCCAATTCCGCCAGCGGCACCGGTGATGAATACATGGAGGCCTCCCAAGCCCAGGAAGGTGGGAGATGCCAAAGACTTCCCTGACATACCGTTTAGTCTGCAGCTATCACGACAAGGGGGTCGTTGGTTTACGGTACAATGCACTAGTCAGATTAGCTACTATTGCCGCGGCTGTCATAGAGGAGGAAAGACGTACCGAGTGATGTGCATACGCCACAGAGCTCAATAGGTGGCTCGAATGGGTTAACAGAGATGAATATAGGCCAGGTATACCACGTGTCTACGTTGATTGACAGATCGACAACTGACGCTGGTAATCAATCTACGAGGCCGCGGGGCAGTCACGTGTGCCTTAACGGACTTATGTTAAATTCCAATATGATTATCATTATTTGACTGATGATTCGAAGGCTGCGGAATCGAAGACGCAAGCTTCCACAGTAATTGTCTATAAATTACTGTGTTTATTTGTTCGCATATCGGCCGCCGACAAAGATCCGGCAGAGCGTAGCTTGGATTCTCATATAGCGAATTCATGTATTCAGTTTCCCACTCAAAGTGAAACAAACCCTAACTGACGGTGAGAAATGGCATTTAAGATCGAGACTACTCTTAGTCCTCAGTGCTATTCTTGGCAATATCATTGACTTTGACCGCGTCCCCACTCAATGTTTTAGTTCCTGTAACTATAGAAGCGGCCTAGACTACTATGTCAACTTTTAATTAGATTCACCCTATGCTGCGATACAACGGCGCTGCTCCACCGGGGAAAAAAAAAAATCAAAAAAAAAATTAAATGAAAAAAGGAGTACGTAGCATTGAGCGTAATCTGGATCGGTCCATTATGATTGTGGCATTACTGGAGGAAGAAATGGCCCCCCAAACACCAGTTCGTCGCAAACAGAGTTCGTTGGGTTTGAGACTGACTTGCACTAATAACCACCGAAGGAGTTTCAGATAATTACTATTCTCGAAATTCAATCAGTGAGCTGGTTATAAAACTAATCTTGTCGAGTTGGGTATAGCCATTTTAGGCATATTGGCGTTACGTGGACTTGGTCCAAGTTAAGCTAATTAGCAGACTAGATGTTATTTGTTCGATTTCCCTCCAGATAGTGGAACTTGGGTTCCGGAAAATTACCGAGGTCTGAACCATGATGACAAGCGAAGGATGCTTTACTTCGGAGTACAGCCTCTACATCGTTTGAGGAGTCCATAAGAGGATGGTTATTAGCCACAAAAGGACAAGTACTGTATTTAGCAAATCTCACTATAAGGTATAAAAGAAGCCTAACATCAATGGGAGCCTGACATCGCTTTCATCCATTTCGTCATGGAAAGGTTACTACGAAGTCCATCACGGGCAATGATAATCATATATGGATCTATAATCCATGGCATTTTATGACAAGCGACTTTTGCGTAGTCTACCCCGTCATTCCTGAAGTATTCCCGCGTGGTGCAGATGAGAGTGACAGCCGATCAGCAATAGTCAAGCTTCCGCGCATCGATAGTGTTAACGGCGGGCATTTAGAGTGGCTGCAGTAGTACAAAACGAGGTCGAGCAGTCCGTAATCCTTCCATGACTGAAATAGAAATCTTAACGAAACTCTGGGGGGAGAACTTGAATGAGCTATGTAAGCATCTCGTATTCAATAAGCACGAATGCTTGGCTTGATTTGATATCAACCTGTCACACTTTGCATAGTGAAGCATAAGCTACTCCGCTGGTCACTACAGGTGGGAGACTGCAAGTGCACATCCACCGATCTCCGGGTTCTCCATTATTTTGCCCTGCATTTTCAGGAAGTGATCTGAATCGGCAAAATCCCGGCCTGTAGATCTTAGGACGGTCGGTTAATGGGAACAGGACGTATTGTTGCAAGACACAGGTAATTTCCGCCAGATACTCTACCAGGCACGACCTGGTCTGTGGGTAGAGTAATGGAGCTGAACATTGAACCGGCAAAGTGAATTGGAGACACTGCGATCCTTTCCTGAAAACGGTCGTTACCGAGTGGGGATTAACATGACCAACCGTGGGCCGGATGGTATATGATCACTCTTAGGCGCTGAAGGCTGGTGGAACCTCGACGTGCTCTATGCACCAATGTTGAGTACACCCCATACAACGGTGGGACAGGACACGCATACTTCAGTTTGGTTGCCGGGAGGCTTCTTGTTTAACTTTGTGACAGGCAGCCTGTTCAGCTGGGTATTGCGGCACAACCCAAGGTTACTGTAATCGGTGAGAAGTCGCCGATGAGGAATATCGGGTAGTATCCATGCTTTCTTTTTCTTTTTTCTTTTTTTCCTTTTGAAACTCAAATTAAAAGTTAGCAGACTTCCAATCAGCCACTGTAAGATCTGAGGATTTGGAATCCCGCATCATGTTCTATGCATTGCGCAGGGGAGTTCAGCCCCAATGTTGGTCGCGTGAGCAGTATTAACACAAGGAATTCTGTGGCACAGAACATGGAATAGCTCGAGGTTCCATAGTGGAGTACAAGAAATTTGCGTGTCCTCAATTTTCTCTTATTGGTGAGATCTCTTTTTTGGGAGTAGAAGATTTCAGAATGGAAAACGAGCAGGAGCGGATAAAGACCGGCACTCGGCAAGACTCTCACCCGAGGCTGGACCGTAACGTGGAAACGCATACAAGGCCTACCAAAGATGAAAGTATCTAAAGTTACGGTCATAGGCCGTATGGAGGCACCCCACTCACGTGATAAGAGGGGACCGGGAGATCTGCGGTTAAAGTCCGTGGCATTTGGGGATGGAGATAACGATAAGCTTGAGAACAAACTGGTCATCCAATCGTGTTAACCAGATTTTTTCTACTCCCTGGTTGCACAAGCTGGATGTTGGATCCATGGTGGTTTTGCCCCTATGATCTATGTACTGTACAGCCGTATATCCGTGTCGACCCTCAAGAGTCACTAATGCCCACTCGAGAACCGTGGTCGTTTGATACCCCTCTTGGGACAATATCCCCACCCCCCGATGATCATTGAGTGATGTGCGCTGAGGCTACTGCACATGGAGTAGTGCTCGTATGTACAGTACATAACTATAACATAACACAGAGCCCCTCCTCAGACTTTTATAATTGATGTAGTGGATATCTAAATTCTCATGACAAACGATACTATATACACAAAAAAAAAAAAAAAGGAGTGGAAGAAATAATAATATATACAGAATTGATATTATTTTAAAATGCGAGACAATAATCATATGCTTCATGGCTGCGGTTGATGCACCCCGTTAAGACTTTCGGTTTTGGTATGATGGGATCCCCAAAATTTGGGAGGCCGGGATTCGTGCTCCACTGTGACAGTAACGTCCTGCCGAATTCTCAGGGCTCTGTCAGAGCCATCATCGCTAACATCCCGATCGTCACTCGCATGTATGCTAATGTCAGAAGCCGGCTTGTGAGGCGTAACAATGCTCCGGTTGTAGTCGTGCATGCTAAATTCGCCTGAGCGTAGTTGACTCGACGGCCCATAGTGCCGGCCGTACCCCGAGGCTTTGCTGGTCCACGGACCAGACGGATACCGGTCAGTGGCTCGCTTGGATCCCCCTGTCCAGCTTTTGAGGGCAGGGAACACGTCGCGAAGGAGAGACCAGATGAGTGGTAGGTTGGTAACAAGAACAGCCACTGTTGCTTCCCGGAAGTACCAATTCATGTAGACGTATGAGATGAGTGACGGGACGAGACAGTAAACCTTTGTCAGGACTGCTGCGACAATAACAAAAATTCCCATGCCGAAAATAACCACAAGTATCAGCTTCTGCTTGAGAGGTACGCGTACTTGCAGCAGAAGTGGCAGTCCGATAAGGAGCATCAGAATGTCTGCGGAAATCGATATACATCCCTGGATAATTTCGTAGTATTGGTAGCTTGAGCATTGATCTATAACATAGTTAGGCCATTGTTTTACTAGGGACGCCTAGAGAGTTGACAACTCACAGGATGTAGGCACAGCCCAATAATTCGATAGGGGTCGGCAGATCAAGAACAGAGACAACTCAACACCAATAAAACCGAGGCCGACATATACGGCGAGATAGTTAACCCATTTCCTCTGCCGCAACCCTTCCCTAACAAATTAAGTCAGTGAACCACGCACGTCGACATTGGCTGGAAGCAACTCACGTTATACGTGCATAGATTACGAGCATACAGGCCTTCATTGCCCATACCGCGAGGACAAAGGAATGTTCTGAGACAAAGACCCATTTACTTCCTCTCACTCGATCTGCTTTGATTACCGGGGTCAAGTTCTTAATATCTTCTTCGCTCATCAAGTTCGAACCCCCCACGATGACGACTTCGTTCAAAGCAACACACAGGATCGTATACCAGATGATAGCGAAGACCATCAAGTAATCGTCTGTCTGGAGGTTTCGGATTCCTAAACGACGTATGCGAGCTACGCTATAAGGTAGTATGGAATTAGAACACAGTCAAGCTAGAGTAACGGGAATGTAAGGACTCCGTTTCTCGCTTCAAGGACAACTTACAATCGCAGGCAAACACCCAGCATCCCTACTGCATAGAGAGTCCATGTTTCCCGAGCGAAGCTTTTTGTAAACTCTGGACTGAAGCTTGACATATTTTCGGAGAGCAACCTATAAGTCCAGGGAATGATAGGTTAACTGGCATTCATTCCGAGCAGATCCATGCAAGGGACCAAGGGAGGGACTATAGATATATGAGGGGAAGGCACCGACATCTTCGCGATAAGCTTTCTGTTATTGGGCACATCTGCCAGGGGATGTGTGTGTGGCTGCAAGGATCAACCGGCAGCCTTGACTCGGTGAGATTTCAGATTAAGGTACGATTGCTATAGAATGGAAATGGAATTGGAGGAAAAACCGAAAAGTATGGCGTCCCATGTTGGTTCCAGTGCGATGGGAGAATTACTGTGAGCTCATAGGCGAACCAGAATCGACCAGCAGACCCAAAGAGGGCAAGACACAGCACATCCAATCTAGGTTCATCGCCAGCGGGACTACTTGCTGCAGGAACTAGGTTCATGTCACACAAGGCCGGCCGGCAGTCGTGCTTGCTACCACGTTTGGTTTAATGGTCCCCAATGCTTTTTCCTTTCCCCTTTTCTTTTCTTTTCTTTTCTTTTCTTTTTTTTTTTCTTTTCTTTTTTTCTTTTTCTTTTTTTCTTACCCTCTCCAAGGGTAATTGGAGTAATAATCCAGTACTTGGGAGGCTTGGAAGATACAGTTGGCTGGTCGCACCATTAATCCAACCCACCATTGTATAGCCTGTACCTGAGTAGTGTTCAGTCCACATCAATTACTAGCTGACCTTCACGTTGGCAAATCATGATACGAAGGTAACTCTTCTTCTATTAGTAACGTACTTGGCGAGCTGAAAAGTATTTTTCCTTAAGTAAGGTGGGTAACAGTGTTTTAGGGAACTGGATTCTCATGGTATAAGGCAATGTGCAGTTGGACGTGCAACGCAAAGTGTAATTACAGTTATTACAACTCACAGGGCATGGATTGGGTTGTTGTCAAGTGGGCCCGACTACTAGCCTCAAGTTAATTCTGGTCTAACCTCATTGAGAACCAGAACGTTCTTAGCACCTCAGTTCCTTACTAGTTAACCTTCTGAAGTCCGGACGATAACATGCTGCTATCTGGCTTGTCCCACTATCCAGTACCGTAGCACTACTACTACTACTACTACTACTACTACTACTACTAATCCTAGTAGGACTAAAACTTTGTTGTGGATGAAACATACATCTCATGTCAGAAACCAAAATCACGCACATAACATAGTATAGTTCGAGGCTGCGTCGGTGGCATCTTAGTCTCCGTTCGAGACTCCCGAACGGAAGGATCGGAGATAAACTTTGTTCTTTTGTCTTCCTTGTTTCTTAATTGACTTTTGGACTGGGAGCACTACTGTGTAGAGGCCTGATCCCTGTCACTCAGCCACCTCAACTTGCGTTATAATTCGCACAGAATCTTCTCTGCGTATATTAATTAAGATGAAGCCTTCCAATAGAGAAGTCGTCCGATCTCTTTTTTCTATATTAATTGTGGGAAACAACAGACCACAAATTACCCCGTCTACGCAATCAGAGGGAAAGGTCCCTCTGTAGGCATTTTAGTTCTTTTTATACAATCATGTCTAGTTTTAATCCGTAAGTCCCGGAGAAGCCGACGAGGCCTCGACCAAATCACTGACTCGCTGTACGGAGTAGTATGAATGCTAAACCGGTCTTGTTTCACTTACCTCGCGTGGGCAGTTATAGAGCAGGTGTTTCTTTGAGACGCCGAGCAGTCAACTCACAAGAAAGTCTTTGGGAATAGCTGTAGAGAAAATAGTGGTAGATTGAGTGCTTACTTAGAACGTGAGGGTATGTATAAAATAGACATGCTCTTCTTTCATTTGTTTTCAGTATTTAAAGAGGGAGGGGAGAAGAAAATAAAAGAAATGGCGTCCTAAATTAACAATTTAATAATTTTCATCAGGTTAGGTAGCAATGAGATACGGAGTACTCCGTACTGGTGGTGTCAATAAGAGCCTAGGGATAATTTGCAATGAAAATGAATAATTTGCTAGATAAGCGGACTGCGCGTAATCGCCGGATTAAGACATAGACGGTTCCGCTGGGGCCCCGTGTCATTGGCCCCAGTCTCTAAAATAAAGTTAGGCTCCAGAAAACAGACTTTCTTGGTGGCAAGGGGCAAGTGGAACAATGTCTGTGTCTCTCCCGTTCCCCGTGCTAACTTTCTTGCCGTTCAAGCCTTAATTGTTGCATTTTCTGTGTGTATGAAACCACTACCTTGCCTTTTTCTGGTTTATTTTTATTTCTTTTGTTTTTGGCTTTTCCCGCTTAACTAATACCATCACCTCTGGTTAACTTAACTAAATCTCTTTTACCCTGGTTACTAAATCAATAGTCCAAGACTTACAAGGAAACGACGGAGGCGAGACAGTTTGGGCTTTTGCTACGGTAGTATCGCTGAAGTTGGAACAGAAGTTACATACTGTATTTTCATTCATTAAACAACGGACTTCATAGTAGGTACTAAATCTCTAGTAATATTTCCACTCCCAATCACTTAACCGACCGCGGGAATACAGAGTATGGTCTGATGCACCTAGCATGTAGTACCACTTGCACGAGACCTTGGAGTGCAGGAAGGTTGCGATATCCTTTAGAGATAATCAAAGTGGGGAGGTTCAAGATGTCCAAGTATTATCTGAAACTCGATCTCAGCCTTAGAGGAGGAAATAGAATCCTACATACGTAGGATCATCTTCCTTCCGGGACATGATCTCAAAGGGTTTTGGCCCATCTGCTCAAGCTCCCCCTTCAGGTAAAGACTCACAACTTTCCCCGGTAACCCCTGTTCTCAGCATCCAACCAGCACGTTTCCCCGGCCCACTTTATCCATGCTGGCCACTGGCCACCAAGGAGGGCGGTTGACATCGATGATTTGCTAGGAATGACTGAAGTGTCCGTAGGTACTCCAACTGTTAGTCCTCTAAACTAAGAGTATCTGCTCCGGTGTATAAACTCTTACTCACACCAGAATCATATCCTTCATAAATTTTTTTTTTCTTCGCTCAGTATCTTTGTTTCTAACCCACTATATACTAGTGATAATCTAGAGGCAATGTCCGGCCAATCTTTCTAAATTAATCCCATCGTTATCCTAGTCATTCATTTCAAACCATAGAGAGATTCCATTCTCGCCCCACGTCCTTGCGATTTTCTTGTCTTAAGACACCTCCATCCACCCTTTCTCTTTTCGCCCTCTTTCTCATTTTTAGACGCAGCTTTACTTCATCTAATAACTCACACTTATCCCGAAACCCACGTCACGTAAGTGGTCGTGTTATCTTTTTGACGATGGCAGCTGCGGAGGGGCTAGAGCCAAAAAAGGCGGGAGCTATCGAGTCGGCGGCGGAGGACCAGTCACCGGGAGAACTGATTAATGCATCCGGACATCGTCAGGAGCTCGACCGAAACTTCAGTTTGTTAAGTATTTGTGCCGTGGCTGTTACGACTGGAAACACATGGATCGCACAAGGAGGCAGTGTGGTATGTTATACAGTGTCGCTCCTTTAACGAAAAAAGAAGGGACAACGCAACTGATGATCGGTTTAGGTCACTGCTCTGAGTAATGGGGGACCATCGGGCGTTATTTATGAATTGTATGATAAGCCTCGCTATTGCTACTATCGATCGGTTGGACACTAACGGGAATATCAGCATTGCCGTGTCGGTCTGCTACTGGTTAGTGGCGGCCTCAATCGCGGAATTAGCATCGGGAATGCCGTCGGCTAGTGGTGGTACGTTTGATAATGATTTATGTCTCTCAATCAAGTGTAGAGCATCGCTAATTTCAATCCAGTATACCACTGGGCCTCTATCACAGCGGGAAAGTATGGCCGTGTATGTGGTTTCTTCGCTGGCTTTTGGAATTGTCTGGCCTGGATCCTTGGTGCAGCTTCTATGTCTGCTATTCTGGGACAGCAGACTGTCTCCATGTATGCTCTGATGCATCCCGGATTTGTCCCCCAGTCGTGGCACATATTCGTCAGCTTTATTATCTGTACATGGCTTTGCTGCGCTATCGTCCTTTTCATGAACAGGATGCTCCCACATATCGGCAACCTTGGAATGTTCTTCATCCTCGCGGGCGTGTTCATTACAATCATTGTCTGTGCTGTTATGCCCCACGTGAACGGTACTGGCTACGCATCAGATTCGGACGTGTGGCGTACTTGGCAAAATGGCACCGGATATTCTAGCGAGGGCTTTGTCTTCGTTGCCGGAATGCTCAATGGTGCTTACAGCGTGGGTACGCCTGACTGCTCAACCCATCTTGCAGAGGAGATCCCCAGGTATTTACCACGATAAACCCCATACTTACGCATGAGTATCTAATGAACTGGCAGACCGAGTCGGAACATTCCCAAGGCTGTCCTCGCCCAGATGACGGTCGGTTTTATTACCGGCGTCCTCTACATGATTGCATTGTTCTACTCGATCACGGATCTAGATGCAGTTATCTCAAGCGTCTACGGTTTCCCTCTCGCCGAAATCTATCATCAGGCGACGGGGTCTAGGGGTGGCGCCCTTGGTTTACTCATTGTGGCTTTTCTTCCAACCGTTATTACATGCGCCGGCTGCTATATCACTGCTGGTCGTACTCTCTGGACCATCTCCCGCGATAAAGCAACCCCGTTCTCCGGTTGGCTTGCGCGCATCAACAGCCGTATGCACAACCCTTTCAATGCTACTCTTGTTTGTGGTGTGATCGTCACGATCCTTGCCTGCATCTATGTCGGCTCTACCACCGCCTTCAACGCTTTCGTCGGCTGCTTCGTGCAACTGTCTAGTCTTTCCTACTGCGCCGCCATTCTTCCACACCTTTTGACTCGTCGTTCTACATTCGCCCCGGGCCATTTCTGGATGGGGCGCATTGGCTATCTCATTAACGCCTTGTCCTGCGTTTACATTCTCGCTTTTGTCGTGATCTTCTGCTTCCCGTATGCTTTGCCTACCGATGCGGCTTCCATGAACTACGCTAGTCTGATGACCGGAGGATTGACAATTTTTGTGACCAT